TCAAGCTGCGCCAGGGGAGATTCAGGCTGGATGTTAGCAAATACTGCTTCTCTGAAAGAGTGGTCAGGCAGTGGAATGGGCTGCCCAGGGAGGTGGTGGAGTCACCGACCCTGGAGATGTTTAAGGAAAGTTTGGATTTTGTGTTGAGGGACATGGTGTAGTGAGAACTATTGATGATATGTGGATGGTTGAACTGGGTGATCTTGTAGGTCTTTCCCAACCTTGGTGTTTCTGTGATTTCAGTGATTCTATCAAATCGAGAGCTTGTGGGTTAAAATCAAGGATCAGTCCAGTAAAGGGCATCTGGTGGTTGGGGTCTGCTACAGGCCACCTGATCAGGGGGAGCCTGTTGATGAGACCTTCTTGCTGCAGCTTCAGGAGGTGTCGTGCTCTTGTCCTGATGGGGGATTTCAACCACCTGCTGGGTTATCTGCTGGGATAGCAGCACGGTGGGTGGTAGACAGTACAGGAGATTCCTGGAGTTTGTTGATGAGATGGATTTGATCTACCTGGACTTCTGCAAAGCCTTTGACATGGTCCCTCACCACATCATTCTCTCTAAATTGGAGAGGCATGAATTTGGAGGATGGACTGTTTGATGGATTAGGAATTGGCTGTCTGGATGCAGCCAAAGGGTTGTGATTAATGGTTCTGTGTCAGGGTGGAGGCCGGTCACAAGCGGTGTCCTTCAGGGGTTGGTCTAGGGACTGGTGCTCTTCAACATCTTCATCAGTGACATAGATGATGGCATGGAGTGCACCCTCAGCAAGTTTGTGGATGACACCAAGCTGAGCGGTGCAGTCGATGCACTGAAAGGAAGGGAAGCCATCCAGAGGGACCTGGACAGGCTGGAGAAGTAGGCCCATGAAAACCTAATGAGGTTCAACAAGAAACTTGGCCTTCCAAGTGCAAGGTGTTGCACCTGGGCTGGGGCAATGCCAGGTATTTATACAAACTGGGGAAGATCTCCTTGAGAGCAGCCCTGCAGAGAAGGACTTGGGGATACTCATGGACGACAAGCTGGACATGAGACAGCAATGCGTGCTTGCAGCCCTGAAGGGCTGTGTTCTGGGCTGCATTAAAAAAGGGGTGGCCAGCAGGGAGAGGGAGGTGATTGTCCCCCTCTACTCGGCTCTTGTGAGGCCCCATCTGCAGAACTGTGTCCAGGCCTGGGGCCCCCAGTACAGGAAGGACGTGGAGCTCTTGGAGTGTGTCCAGAGGAGGGCCACCAAGATGATCAGAGGGCTGGAGCACCTCTGCTATGAGGAAAGGCTGAGGGAACCGGGCTTGTTTAGCATGGAAAAGAGAAGGCTCTGGGCAGACCTCAGTGTGGCCTTCCAGTACTTGAAGGGAGAGTATAAACAAGAGGGGGAATGGCTTTTTACAAGGGTGGGTAGTGATAGGACAAGGGGAAATGGTCTTAAACTGACGGGGAGGTTTAGGTTAGATAGTAGGAGGAAGTTTTTCACACAGAGGGTGGTGACACACTGGAACAGGTTGCCCAAGGAGGCTGTGGATGCCCCATCCCTGGAGGCATTCAAGGCCAGGTTGGATGTGGCTCTGGGCAGCCTGGTCTGGTGATTGGCGACCCTGCACATAGCAGGGAGATTGAAACTAGATGATAAATTGTGGTCCTTTTCAACAAAATATAATCATTTTATTCTATTTATTGGTGCTGTTTGTTTGATATATTTTCACTAACTGTAAGACTTTGCCATAAGTAGCTGTAGCTTCCTCACCCATCCTATTATTTTTGTCCTGCCCCCTGTGGCTGAGGGTTTCTGCACTGGTCCTGCAGGGAGCAAATCTGTCACTGCCATCTAGTGTTCTTGCAGAAGGTTTCTGGAGACTATACCAAAATAAAAACTGAACACTAACATTGATTTTCTTTGTCAGTTTCCCAGCTAGTAGCAAATCTTATGTAATTACAGAACCTCTTACAGTGTTTGTTACCTTTCCAGTGTATCATTCAGTTTTGTGGACAGCTGCCTTGTTTCTCACTTTGGAAAGTTTAGAGTTCTTTTCTTATTTTGTCTCTTCTAAGAGACATTGTGTAAATCCTGCTTCTTTGGCATCGTGCAGTCAGCACAGAAACCGGTACTGAGGAGCATGCAGCAGATTCTTGTGGTCCCTTCCAGGACCTGGAATGCCAGGAACTGACAAGCTGGTATTTCTCTCAGCTGGGGTAGAGCTGACCGCAGAGCCGCGTGTCTCTCACCAGGGACACAGACACATGAGCTGGAGCCGTGTTGGACCTGTGCCGAAGGCTGCTTCCAGGCAGCCAAGCAGTAAACAGGAATCTGAATGTTTGGGCTGGGGAGCAGCTGGGTATGATCATGCTGAAGACTCTAAAAGGCCCAGCTTCCCATGCAGTACCTGTTCCTCTGCCAAATGTTCAGAAACGTGAATTAATTGGTGCTCATGGAAGCTTCTTTACTATTTTGACTATAGAAAATATTTTGCTGATCTTTGTACTAAAAATAATGAAAACTAACGTTAAATGTCCAGGCCCTTACATCCCTGAAGAGAGATTAAACGTAACTGCATTCCAGTGTCAAGCACTACTCAGGCAAGTGTCTATCAACAATTACACTGATATAGAAATGAAAGGTTTTCTGTTCATTAGATACAGAGAATCATACTGACATTTTTCTAGCAGTTTTATCAATATAATATTGTGGAACAGGATTCCGATTTTATAAGTTTTCCTATTTGTAGTTTTCCCTTGCATGTCTTTTAAGCATTTTAAGGTCTGACATTCACTTTACCATTTTACAGTCAGAATAGGCCACAATAGATGATAGGCAACATCATCTGACCATCCGCATCATGTGAATTACAGAATCAAACTCACCTAGCCTGTTCCTGTGTAAACCTGGCCATTTGTGCAGGTTCAATGGGCTTTGCTTGGGAGGCTGACGTACTGAGGTGGGGGCAGGTTTTAAAGACAAAAAATACAACAAGATTGTTAGTTTAAATTAGTTATTAATATTCAAATTAGTATGGAATTGAATTTCATAGTATTTTTTAATAATTTATGATACTTACTGTAACAATAAGAGCTAATTACAACTTCATTCTTATTCTGGAAATTTATCATAGAATCACAGAATCACAGAATGGTTTGGGTTGATGGGACCTTTAAGATCCAACCCCCATGCTGTACACAGACACCTCCCCCTAGACCAGTTTGCTCAAAGCTCCATCCAGCCTGGCTTTATGCTTCCAGGATATCCGTAACCATTCTGGGCAACCTGTTCCAGTGTCTCACCACTCTAACAGTAAAGAATTTCTTCCTAGTATCTAGTCTAAATTTAGCCTCTTGCAATTTAAAGCCATTTCCTCCCATCCTGCCACTGCCTGCCCTTACAAAAAGTCCCTCCCCAGCTTTCCTATAGGCCCCCTTCAGGTACTGGAAGGCCGCTATAAGGCCTTGCCCCAGGAGCCTTCCCTTCTCCAGGCTGAAGGGCCCCAAATCTCAGCCTATCCTCATATGGGAGGTGTTCCAGTCCTCTGATCATCTTCGTGGCCCTCCTCTGGACATGCTCCCACAGTCCCATGTCCTTCTTGTGTTGGGGTCTCCAGAACTGGACACAGTACTCCAGGTGGGGTCACACGAGAGCAGAGCAGAGGGCCAGAATCACCTCCCTCGCCCTGCTGGTCACGCTTTTCTTGGTGCAACCCAGGATACAGTTGGCCTTCTGGGCTGCAAGCACACATTGCTGGCTCATGTTGAGTCTTTCATCAACTGACACTCCCAAATCCTTCTCCTCAGAGCTGCTCTCATGCCATTCTCTTCCCAACCTGTTCCTGTGCTGGGGATTGCCCTTACCCAGCATTTGGCCTTGCTGAACTTCATGAGGTTGGCTTGGGGTTGGTGATTATTTTGTATTTTCCCTCTTCCTGTCTTTTCTATAAAATCAATTATGCTAAAACAAAAAAACAAAACCCAAAACTTTAGTAAAAACTCCTCCAGATAAGAATGTACTAGAATTTTGAGGTGAAAAAAATTGATGAATAAAATGCACAGTATAGCTTTCTCAGTTTTTCAGTCCATAGCTCTATCTTGCTTTTATGACATGCAGTGAAGGATATCTTAATTGAAACAATTCCACAGTGTCACTTCATTCCTCCAGTTTATTTAAAACTACTTTCTTAAACTGAGAAATAATCACAGTCCCATTTCATTTTCAGTGATTGAAAACAAAACAAAACAAACAAACAACAACAAAAATCACAAAAGAAGCCCCCAGAATTTCTATGGTACCAAAACAATTGCTATAAATACTGAAAAGGTGACAAACATGAAAAGGTTTTATTTTGAATATTTTGATTTGAACGTTTGAGTTCTCTGCCAGCACAGATAGGCATAACCTCTTTGAATGTCACTTGAATCACTTCACAGCAGCTGGAAACACGGGCTGTGTTACCAGATGAAAGGCTTCAACCTGTGTGATTCCCTTCGTATTGCTTTCTGTCTTCCCCCAGCGTCGTACAAACTGATGATTTCTGCAGGGAATACTGTTCCTTTTTCCTGCTCTTCTGTCTGTTTTGAGATGCTGCCTTGCTGCCTCTATGCATTCAGTTTTTTTCACATATAACATGGACATCTCTTTCTAGGGAGACATTCCCATTTAGATGGGGATACATTTAAATAACTTTGGGTTCCCTAACTTCAGTGTTGCAGCCTGGTGTTATCTTGCTCAGGGAAACACCATGCTGTCCTGACTTATTTCTTACAGATCTGGATCCCCAGTACTTTAGAAATTCTTTCTTTCTTTACAAGGAGAGTGGTTAGGCCCTGGAACGGGCTGCCCAGGGAGGTTGTGGATGCCCCGTCCTTGGACGTGTTTAAGGCCAGGTTGGACGGGGTCCTGGGCAACCTGATCTGAATGTGTATGTTTGGTGGCCCTGCCAGGCAGGGGGGTTGGAACTACATGATCCTTGAGGTCCCTTCCAACCCGGGTGATTCTGTGATTCTGTGAAATAATTTTGCAAAGAGCACAAGGATTAATTTTAAAATAAAACATTCCAGGGAGTATTAGCAATATTTCTTCAGAAATACTACACAGTTCTAAGAAGTTGCTAGATTGCTGGGACTTAGTCATGTTTATGATCGTGAAGAATGTATCCATCTCCTCACTTTAATGCTAGACAAACTTTAAATGGTGTAATGCCCCTTAAAATGAGTATCATTTCTTTCCTGTTTTCCTATTAATTTAATGCAGTTCCAGACTGACATAGAGCTGTATAGTTCCATATATACAGTATATGAGTATACGTTTGGTTCTAGGTAGCCAGTGCTTTTTCACAGAACTCTGCTTTCTTCTAATAAATTTGTATGCCTGAATTATTATTTCCATGTACTAAAAGCTGCTCTGCAGCTTGTAGCATGGCACTCATCTGTACTTAGCACCAAAATAAGGAGTTAGTATGCAGGATGCGGACAATTCTTTTACTCCAGATGCTGTATTCAAACTGCAGTGGTCCATTGAAGAAGTAGAGGTAACCTGAGGAAAAAGAAAGTTGAAATGAATTTAAATTGAAAAATCTATTTCTATTACTATTACTATTACTATTACTATTACTATTACTATTATTACTGTTACTGTTACTATCTACTTTGACTCTGAAGATATACATCTCCATATTTTATAATAATATAATTGTCAAAGAATAATTGAGATCAGAAACCTGATCTAGGCAAGAACAGAATTGTTGATGTCAAAAAAGTCAGAATTACAAATGACAGAATATCCTACAGAGCATTAATGTCAAGCTTCAGCCACGACTAATAGTAATAAAGCTTCATTGTCAGGTTACCTACCATTTCTTTGGTAGACTGCATCCACTCTATCACCAATTCCTGCAAATTCATCTTCTATGAACTTGGGGTAGCCCGTGTCCATAACCTCTGTCTCTTCATCATAACTACATTAAGCATAAAAGAAAATAAAAATTCAGAGAACTTAGCCTGGTCTGTTCCCTTGCATGCTTTGAAGTTACCCACACCAAGAGAAGCCAGCAGCCATTAGATCCCTTACGCTCAGTGCAATAATAAAACTCAAGGCAATAAGTAGGGCACCATTACACCAGAACACACTCTCAATAATCACAAAACCAGTAAAGTCACATTTTCAGAAGTACATAAACTACCTAAACTACCCATTGTAGGGAAATGATTGTACATCAGCTTATCAGCAGTGTGATTCTGCCCTCAGGCTGCTTGACATGGAGATTATTGGAAGGGATGGTAATATCTTTTCCAAATATGTGAGAGACCTGGCTGCAAGCCCCCCTCTTGGCCAAGAAAAACAGCCATTGTCAAGTAAGCTGGATGTCCTGCTCCCACAGGAGCCACACGAACAACTTTAGGGAGCAAGATAAAACTTTATCTAGAAGATTCATCCATGTTATAGACTCTCATGGATAGGGCAATTTGTTCTTTCCTTTCTTTCACTCTTTCAGTTTTTACAAGCTGTGCTCATATATTTATAAAAATCCTGCATGCACTTTCATGATATATTCTAGACAAATATCACACCTGTGAAAACCATAGACTGACAACATCTGAAGCATAATGCAAAATATTTGCTGATCTTTTGACACTTCTGCACACGTTATGAAAAGGGCATTGAAAAGAAGCACCAGTCTGTTTGCAGCTTACCTCCAGTACTTATTCCCTGTAAAAAAGAGAGTCTTGCCAGTGTCATCAATATGGACCACTGCATCTATCCTTTTCATTTCTTTTGGGAATCCCATTTCATATATCTTTTTAGGAAAGCCTTCAACTATGTCATAGCCATTCAGAGCCCAAACCTTCTTTCCTGAAAATAGGAATAAAGCATGTATTATTCTTTTCTAAAGGCTGAGCTTTGAGAGAATGATAAAATGAAGATGGTACGATCCTTATTTTCATATATCTAACAGATTCTTAGGCCACATACTCCATGGGTATTAAACTATTCATGCTAAAAGTAATCCTAGGCATAGGAGCTTGATTGTACAGCTCCTAAGTTAATGAAAATTATGTAGGTTTGCATGGGATGGAGCCTGCATTCATTGTATTTTGTGTAAGGAAGATAGAATGTTATGCACATCCATTCATTACCTCTCTGTCTCTCATTGAACTTGAGTGAATATGTAGATTTTCCTGCCAACAACAAAACAAAAAACTCACCTTTAAACATGAAGACAAGATCTTTAATGGGGTTTTCATAAGCTGCATCTATTTTGTTTGGAAGCTCTGGCCAAAAGGATTTAATTAAAACAAGTTCTGCTTCAACCATCTGAGGGTGCAGTCTCCAGAAAAACCTAGTTCAGAAAAAAAGAATAACAGAGAAGTTGGGGTGCTCTTTGTTTTTTTTTTTTTGTATGTCTGGTTGGTAGTTTTTTTTCATTCAGAATAAGAGAAACAATTGCACTCAATGTAAGGTTTCTGAATCTAGTATAACTTCATCAAAATAAATGTGAGTAGATTTATGTGCATTGACAAAAGCCCTGTGAAATGAAAAATATGAAGAAATAGTGCAGCCTTCAGCCATATCAGCTTCACTTCACATTGTTGGGCAGTCTGGGATGTAATTGCACTGCAAGTCCTGCCTGAAAACACATGTGATATAACTTCTTAAAACATCAATGCTGATTTGGGAATTTTTATATTTACATAGATCTTTAGTGAAAAACTCAAATGGCTCTCAAATTTTATCAAGTAGCCACTGTCCATTACACAACACACTCTTTACCTGTCCTTAAAGACCAGCATTTCTCCACGAAGTTTTGTTATGGCATCAATTGATAAATCTGCAGCACATTGCTCTGGTGTTTTGGGATGTTTTGGGTTGGGATCTCTGTCTCCAGGACCTGGAACGATATAATATGATAACAGTTTGTCAGCTTTCCTGTTCTATGGCTCATAATATTACATAGGATATGGAAATGTCCCCAAAAACCACCATGAATAAAAGCAGAATGGCAAATGATTTGTACCAGAGAAAGTCTGTTTCCTCTTTCTCTCCTTTAGCCAAATGCATTATAGACTTTGTAGTTCAGCTGCAAAGATACTAAATGGACTAATTTCCTTTATCCTCATTCTGAAGATCCTCTAAAAGTTTTATTCTTTCCATGACTGAAACCTGAATATTTTTGTTCTCCCTTCTATATCTGCCTGTTTTACCTTCTCAGGCAAAAAAATAAAAGGAATCTGCGTGCTCTCTTTTTCCACCTCATCAAAGAAACAGCACAGCTACCAACAGTACTCTGCAGTATTATTTTCTTTTTTATCCCCCCGAACTACTAAATCTAAGCATCTTTTGTCCTTTAGTCGGATTGCCATGAGTTCAGTGATTAGGACTTAATCAATCATGAGTGTTGCTACTGAACATCTGAAGGCCTTTAGTAACTGTGCAGCATATCTGTAACAGGTTATAATGACACAGGCAATACATATTTTACATTATACAGACTTACCATAGAGCTCTTGGATCCCTTGCACATCATCATCAGGAAGCACAAAACCAGATTTTCCAGTATAAGTGTAAATTGGGAACATCAGTGCTCCAGGGTCTCTGGAGTGTTCAAGTCCCAGCGAATGGCCAAATTCATGAGCAGCAACAAGAAATAAGTTATATCCTATAACAAACGACAACAGAAGTAAATGTATACCTCCCCATACAGCCAAAGTGCACTGGACTACTCAGCCTTAACACTGTGATTCAATGTGAGGTAATGAAGGAGAGAGAAATGGAAGAATTATATATAATTTCTTGACTTTTTCCATCTACTAGAACATTTGTTTTAAGAAGGGCTTAATCAACTGCCTCATAGCTGGTCTTCAACTATCTCTTATTTGACACTGTTCTGTAGGCAGCTTTGATTCCTTAATGGATTCCTTGAAATTTCTTAGTGATGCTGAAAGATCTAGGATGAAGTCTTAGTGATACTTAAATAAAGAAAAAAAATTTTGCTGGGAATTCACTTCCAGTGGAAAGTCTGCATTATTTTTGTATGGCAATAATTCTAGAAAGGTGAAATAACACTACAAAAAATTAATGTTTTGTTCTATTAAAGCTCTCTGCTGAATAGACAAGGAGAGGAATTTTCAAATTAGTTATGAGTAGTTGACTTCCAGCTGTGCAAAGTATATCATAGAATCGTAGAATTGCAAGGTTGGAAACGACCTGCAGGATCATCTAGCCCAACTGTCCTCCCATCACCATTGCTACCTCAAATGCTAAACTGTAGCTCCTCATCCAGACCCCTCTTGAACACTGCCAGGGACAGCGACTCCACCACCTCCCTGGGCAGCCATTTGAGTGCCTGACCACTCTCTGAGAGAAAAAGTTTTTCCTCATGTCCAACCTAAACCTCCTCTGGTACAACTTGTGGCCATTTCCCCAGGTCCTGTTCATTGCCTGGGAGAAAAAGCCAAACCCCTCTTCACCACAACCTCCCTTCAGGTAGTTATAGAGAGGAGTAAGGTCTCCCCTGAGCCTTCTCTTCTCCAGACTGAACAATCCCAGCTCCCTCAGCTGCTCCTCATAAGACTTGTGCTCCAGACCCCTCACCAGTTTCGTTGCCCTTCTCTGGACACATTCCAGGGCCTCAATGTCTTTTTTGTGGTGAGGGGCCCAAAACTGAACACAATACTCGAGGTGCGGCCCCATCAGTGCTGAGTACAGGGGGATGATCACCTCCCTGCTCCTGCTGCCCACACTATTTCTAATGCAGGCCACGATGCCATTGGCCCTCTTGGCCACCTGGGCACACTGTCGGCTCATGTTCAGCTGAGCATCAACCAACACCCCCAGGTCCCTTTCCTCTTCACAGCCGTCATCCAGCCACTCATCCCCAAGCCTATAGCTCTGCAGAGCTTATTGTGGCCAAAATGCAGGACCCGATACTTGGCCTTCTTGAACCTCATCCCATTCACCTCAGCCCAGTGATCCAGCTTATCTAGATCCCTCTGAAGGGCCTCCCTCCCCTCAGGCAGATCGACACTACTTCCCAACTCGGTGTCAACTGAAAACTTACTGAGGGTGCACCCAATCCCTTCATCTAGGTCTGAATAAAGATATTAAATAAGATGGGCCCCAATACAGACCCCTGGGGGACACAACTTGTAACAGGTTGCCAGCTGGACTTCACTCCAGTAGCCACTACATATGTTTTTTCCAAAAGATACAGCGAGGTCATTCCTGACCAGCTGTCCATGAGCTGTAAGTAAAATGCCAAGCTGACAGAGCACATTAAATATGCATTTTTAAAAATTGCTCCACTTAAGATATGTGTATCTTAAAATTTATGGTTTGCATAAGTTATATTCCCATTTATGATTAGCAATTAAATCCACTTTCCAAGGAGTAGACAGTGAACATATGACCTAAAGAACAGTAAACAGAAAAAAACAGACCGAAACAAAACCATTTACAATTGTCCATCACCATTTAAAATAATCTCAGGAACCTCTCTTACCTTTAGAATCATTTGACCAAGTTTCATCATCATCAAAATGGGCATCTCCTCCATAGTCTGGACCAGGAGGGAAGGCATGAGCCAGTAATCCAGAGGGTCCATCAAAGGGGTAAAAGTCACCATGTTCTATAAAATAGCACTCAAACCAATTAAATCAGTTATATCTCATCAAATTGGCAACAATATAACTATAATGTAAGAAGAACATGCTTTGTCTTACCTTTAGTGCCAAAGGAGATCATAATATCAGCAGTGCCACTTCGTATTCTGGTGAAGTTAAGGGGTGTCACATCAGACCAAACCTTGAATGCTTTTTTGAAGGCTCTCTCTACTTCAGCGCGTCTCAGATCGTGAGTGTAACTCACAATTCTATCAAACAGAATAATGTCTCTGGTTTAGTTATGCAGATTGAAGAAAGTATTTAATACACTTTCATCTGTCTGTACACTGCATTAAAAAGTTTTGCTTGTTACCTCCCTGTGTTCTTATCTGAACATAAAGACCTGAACAGTTGCATACAATATTCCAAGAAATAAAAATAACCATTTGCATTTTCACTGTGGTTACTCAGATTCAACAGATCTCTATAATTAGTTTTACCTGAGTATTTAGAAAAAGACATATATTCATTAAGCCATATCATTAACTTAAAACTATTTTAATGCCATTTAAAATGTCTAATGACCCTCGTTTTCTGCAGAGGCTAAGCATGATCCAAAGAGGCTTTGTGGGCCAGCATCACCAGCATTAAAGTAACATTTTTTACCAGATACTGGACTGATATCTCTGAAAGAGTTCAGTGATTTTATACTGGCTGCAGCTAACTGTAACACCATACCGATGGCACTGGTATTTAGGAAAATGAAGCCATCATGCTGTGGGAGAGCTCCCTCTCTGGCAGATTTGTCTAGGACAGGTCTAGAGGGAGCAGATGCCAAACCATAGACAAGAGAGATCTAATGATTGAGCTCTGTGAGCATCAGAGGTGAGATGCGTGATTCCTATCCCTCTTTCATTTAGAACTGTGGATGTGCTCAGTGTCTACATGGAGGCCAGCTCACTTCAGCTTGCTTACACACCAGCTCTACTACATGAAAAAGCACAATGGAAGAAAATTTTTATTTCCTCCCTTGGACTGTAAGACAAGTCTAGGGGACCTTACTAAAACTCTCTAAGGGACTCAAAGAATTTTAAATAGCAATAAAAATTCTGTCAAACTTGAACACACTCTTTTCCCATCAACTTTGTATACTGAGCAACCTAAGTGACAAGTTATCTAGAATGATGGAACACTCAAAATGCCATTCATTTACCTGTATGTTAAATTAGTTTTTGACCATTTGAGTTTTCGAGGGAAAAAGTTATATTCCCCCACATCTGGAACACCACATCTTGGTTTCTGCATGAGCTCGTATGTTTCTTCATCTAATTTTCCTGTCACCTCTAAACCAAAAAAAGCTTGCATTTCTCGAAGTTTAGAGGCCATTGTGTTGGCACTCTTCTTCATAACACCAGTGGGATTTGGACGGAGATCATAGTGAGTTCTGAGGTAGCGCTAAGAAAGGAAAAAAAAGTCATAAGCCTAGTTTCCATGCATTTCTAACTACACAACTATTTATAAAACATGCAGATTAATTTATACTGTACCTCTGCAAACCGGAGGTCTTCCTCTGTGAATTCATGGCTATCATCAAGAGGAACAGGGACCGTCAGACAAAATGACAGACCCAGCAAGAAGAAGAAGACAGCTGAAAGCATTATGTTGGATTTGTGATGTCTGATGTGTTGGAGAGCAGTTACCTTCACATTTATAGCCCTGTTCCGATGAGTCACCACTTAGGGACAAGTTAGAACTTCCTTGTCCCTGAAAGTAAACATGCTTAGACGGCCACTTTTTCTTTCCTCCCCTGCACTGTGGTTTAGGCATCTGTTGTTCCACTGAGGTCTCTGAAACTGCATCTTCATATAAACAGTCTCAGGATATTTACAAAGGTTGTGGGAAGAAATCAGGAGAAGAAAATGGCACTTTTTGATTATTTTGCAATAACTTACACTGGCTTATTTCTCCTCTCTGCTAGAGTAATTATTTGTTTTCTATTTGACAGAAAATAAAAAATATATAATCAGCTTTTTTTACTTTCAAAATAAATTCTACAACTTTTCAATACTTAGATGCATCAATTCTTAATTGTTGGAATAGACCAGAAATGTTTCAGTTGTTTTTAAATGCAGCTTTGAGTAATAAGAAATGATTTTATAGACATGACATGTAATAGGACATGACATTTCCTTGTTTTTGTAAAGAAATACAACTCTAAAGCATTAACAGAAGTTTTACTTCAGGAATCCTTAAAATGGCTTTCTGTCAATCTTTCAGATTAATTTACAGCTTGAGACATACCTAAAAGCAGAAATGTTAAGTGTCAGGAAACAGTTTTGAATATCCAACAGTGTTTTTACTAGTAGCTAAGCATATCATGCAGAGGGGCTGCTTCATACAATCTCTCTTCTTTAATAACTTAAATTTACTTTGTGAGGAGAGAACAGCTATAGATCAGTGAAACACCTGCTTTAAGAGAGGCAAACTGCTACAGGCAGGCAATGAATTTGTGTATCTAGAATGACAGAAACGTGTGTTTTTCTTCTGAGGTGGAAAATAGGATGAATCAGGTGTTTTGACAGACATAGGCAATAGGCATTACTATGTTCGAAAGCTGAGCAGTGACTTCTGTCTCCCCAGGGTCACTCCAACCTCATCTGCTGCCCAGGCTTGTATCACTTACCATGCCCAGAAGTCTGGGTCCTGTTTTATCTGAATCCACCTTTCTCTTCCGTGGAGTCTATTCTCACATGGAAAACCTCAAGCAGCTTTCTGGTAGACACCAGTGCATGCTTTCTAATACACACGCCCTTGTACGCTGGTGTTGCCTTGTTGACAGAACAGGAAGCAGACAAAAATCAGTGTAGCTGAATGTGACAAAGCTCAATTTTATGTAAACAGTATTAGCCTTTTATCTTACACGATTAACAGCTAAAGAAAACAAACCTGGGAGGAATTTGCTATTTAGGCTATTTTTACCTCTCCACCCACCTCATTCAGTGCTAAATATGACTAAATCAATTAGGAATAGACAGCTTCTGTTTAGACTGTTTGCATATCCTCCTTTACATTGCCTATTACTGGTGCTGAGACTGTTTAGCAGTGGTGGCATAAAGACTAATAATTACCTCATCTTCTTAAAAAGTGCTTCAAGGACAGCATATTGTTGATGTAATCGCCATTCTGCACTCCTTGCAGGCGTTGCCATTCCTACTAGCTTATCACTAGGAGCTATGCATGCATCTTACCTGTTTCTTTCCAGCACCTCCGTATTGATATTTGCTGCACTGCGTTCATTGGTGTAGCTGTATTTGGTCACGGGGTCTGTACTTGGCTCTGGTGAGGCTGCACCTCTAGTGCTGTGTTCACTTTTGGATCCCTCACTGCAAGAACGACACTGAGGCCCTGAAGCATGTTCAGAGAAGGGCAGTGAAGGACCTGGACAAATCCTATGGGGAATGGCTGAGGGAACTGAGATTGTCTGGAGAAGGGGAGGCTCAAGGGAGACCTTGTTGCTCTCTACAACTGCCTGAAAGTAGGTTGCAGTGCAGTGGGGGTCGGCCTCTTCTTCCATATAACTGATAGGACAAGAAGTGGTGGCATTTTATTGTGCCTATTAGGAAAAATTTCTTCTCAGAAAAAAATGGTAATGCATTGGAACAGTCTGCCCAGGGACGTGGTTGAGTCATCATCCCTGGGGGTGTTCAAGAAATGTGTAGATGTGGCACTGAGGGACATGGTTTAGTGGGTATGGTGGTGATGGGTTGATGGTCAGACTAGATGGTCGTAGGTTTTTTTCCAACCTTAATGATTCTGGGATTCTGGGATTCTGTATGGAATCATTGCTCACATTCAAGTGATGCCAGAGCCTGAGTTAAAAATAAATAAATAAATTAATTAATTAAAAACTGTGAAGAGAGACATAAATGCAGATAAAAGCAGTCAGAAGTGGTTTGTAGACATTGTGCTGATCCCACTGCAAACAAGCAAGCTTGGAAAGCTACATTTTGTAAGCACTGACACTCACAGAACTGCTGAACAGTGAGAATTCAACAAGCACTGCAAAATTTCTGCAGTTCTGGCGTCTTGTGGGTGTGGGCAAAGTTAGCTGGACTGATGGCAGTTTTCATAGGCACAACAGAGACTGGAATGAGCATGCTGGTTTTTTTCCCTCAAGAGTAAGTGAATATAGAAGAATGGGAGAAGTGGTGAGAAGTGTCTGAAACCAGCATTATTTGAAAACAAGAACTGTGCCAACAATATTGCTTCAACATATATTTTGTGGAAAGGTGTCATGTTTTGATTTACTCCCTGTGTGTGGTGACCAAAATAGCACTGCACAGAGAATGTGGTGAATGCTCTTTAACTCTCAAACTGCACACTCTTTACTTAAGGCAAATAAAGTCAGTAGGTCGATTTGTAAATGCACCTTACCACAAGTTGTATTTCAAGTTGGAGCATCTCCAGCGCCTACAGTCACCTAATCACATATAGGTTGGCTTCCTATGGGAAGATATTCTGAGGCTCATGGTACAGATGGATAAATGAAGTCCCAGCATGGTTAAGATAAAAATCCAGCCATGCATCTGCAGGTGGGGATGGAGATGGAAATGGTTCACATGAGCAGGTCTTCAGCAGCGATGGTAAAGTATGTTACAACCACTTGACTCCTCTAAGGTAATAGCACCCCTGTATCATTTACTGGACAAGAGATGCAATTGGAAGTGTTTTGCAAGGTCCAGGGCTGGAGTCAAGAATTATAAGCATGTTTTGTAAAGGCAATGGTTCTTGTACAAGTGGGTTCCTGCAGACCTTGTGGGCCACTATGTCATACAGAGACAAAGTGGCTGCCTTTCTGTCTGCCTACAGAGCAAGACAACTTACAGCACAACACACTTATGAGTGTGACAGTACCCATGAATAACTGTTGTTATATAGGAACTTCTGACTGCTTTTTTCTGCTTCAGAATGAATGCAGGATCCTAACCTGTCTGTGATCCTTTGTCAGATGTCACCTTTAGTTTTTGTACATAAGCAGTGGTATCTCACTGACCTGCTCAAGAAATGGGCCATCTGTTGTGCTTCTCTTTGCAATCAGGATAGCACTCCCATATCCAAGCTGTACGAACAATTTGAGGCAGCATTTGCTGTAATTGAATTTTATTGTTTCTTGAAATAAATAGATGGAACCTGTAAAAAAATACTATTTTGAAGAATGACTGCAGTTATTGAGTTCTACGGTAGTAAAATTATTTTATTCTCCCCTTATATTACTTTATTACTTCATAAAATGTGGTACCCAGTTATCAAAGTTCAATAGCCTCTGACCGGGCTCTTTTAGATGTTTCACACATTAAGAATTTAATATGTAAAACAAAGTTTACTTACGTGAAGATATTTGACGGTACACAGCAATTTGATTTAGCAGAGTGATGGGCAATGTGCTTAATTCACAGTGTAAATATAATGCATTTCAAAGAGTGCAATTGCAAGATGCAGCTGAATCACAATACGTTTGTGATCCTTATTACCAGTCTCAGTAATGTGCTTACTGTAATGACACTGGGTGTCCCCAGTCCCCAGATAGTAATATACAGGTTGAAACCAAATCAAGCCCTTTGCTCTCTCCAGATCTCTTATTTATTTTGTTTCTCTGCAGCACTACTTTATTTTTTATACTTACTGAGATGCTAAAGGATGTATGCACTCCCCATGTTCATCTGAGTAGCAAAGGAATAAGTTTTGCACTCTTGACTTACTCGGGGACAGTCATTTACACAGCTGGTTGATCCACTGATTTAGCCAGCTCATCCAGCATGGTGGATGTCACCTCCAGTCCCATCTGTGTGAAGTTTATAATTCTTTGCAACACCCCTGTCAATCAGTCACACCGTATGTTCCTCATGAGTATACCCCCCTTGCCCACGTCCTCAGAGCTTCTTCCACTGTAGAGGTTCATTGACTTGTCACACCAATACCAAGTGCTAAATATCCTGCTATCTCTATTGCTGGCAAACTGGGAAGCAACTCGGAGGTTTTTCTAGCCAACATAAGTTTGCTCATAATGGGAAGAAACTGGTTAGAAGTAGGAAAAAAAAAAGTGGAAAACAAAAACCCAGGAATCCAGTTCAAAAGTAAAAATGCAATTTGTTTTTTGAGACATCAACAACCTTATTTTTCTGTTTTTTAAATCCTGATGTTTACATTCACAAATGCTTACAAAATCTATTTCAAGATTACCTCTGTAGCACTGTGGCTGTCTGACATACGTGATTGGATCTTTGTATGTTTTGAGATATTTTTTCCTTGCGTCAACCAAGAAATACAAATAATATGCATTTAAAACATTTTAATTTTAGTTCTTCCATCATAGCAAAATATTTTCCCTGTCTGTAAGCTGTTTTATGTGTGACTTAATATGCAATATTATTCTTACATCTTAACCAATCCATATAAGGATACCTGTTCTCCATAGAAATACATGCTTCACTGAAGGTCTAAAAATTAACATAAGGAAGAAACAAATGACTTCATTTATTCATGCAGTGATTCAACACTTCCTTTCAGAAGCTTGGACACTTCATAATGAAACACAAATTTTGCATGTTTAATATCTAAGTAGAGTTTGAACTTCTGGACACCTTCTACACCTTCAGGAGGAACAGATGATTCTTTTAAGGGTGTGAAATTAAAACTAATGTCATCAGCCCCCAAAAGATTTTTATTCACAATACTTATCTGTAAAAATTGGAGAAAGGAGCTTAACAGAAACACACACCTTCTTCTACCTTCATGTGCTCTTTAATGTGTTTCTATTAGTAATGAGGGCTACTCACGATTTCTGTTTTAATTTTCTATTGATTACCAATTAAGAAGAGCACTGTACTTCCTATATCTTTCAAGTAATAACAAATCAGAATACATACAAGCACTACTGAGTCCAAAGATTTCAAACCAGTGCTGTCTATAGCACCTAAATGCCATGGACACCTTTGTCATCTTTGGTATTCTAAGAAGAAATGTCACAGGTAGTGATGTGAATTTTGAGAAGGAGACAGAAATCCTCTCCTTAGGGCCAGCTAAATATAGGAGAGTTGTGGACACTCTCATATGTAGTTGTGGACACAAAATAATGATCTCTCCAGATGGAGGTATTAGCAGGCACTTTCAGAGACATCAGTGAATAAAAGTACAGTCTAGTTGAACTAAATTCTAATTCAGATTTCTATTCAGGATAAGAGCTTCCCACGTATATACACAAGTAATTGAAGATAGTGCCAAATAAATGGGAAAAAAGTGCACTGAAATTAGCAAAAGAGACAGTAACACAAATGCTAAGGACAACTGTTTGTCCTCCACAGAAGTGCACAGAAGACTCTTTACAAGAGAAGCTTACAGTACACTTTTTATTTGTAAGTAGTTGTAAGAGTAAAACCATATGTTTTAAAAACATTTAGGAAAGGAAGTATGATTTTAAAGCCCTGGCTTTTTCTTGCCAACCACACTCATGCTATTTATGCAGCTGAGCTTGTTAAAAAGCATTTTCTCATCTCTATTGCAAAAAGTCTTGAGAAGAAGTGGGAAAATCTAGATGTCTGATGCATACAGTTTCATAGGGAGTGCTACTAGCAAGTGATAAGGTTGATCTTAAGTTTTGAACTACCAATTAAACTACTAGAACTAGATCTTAAGAACATCTTAGTGAAACCTAGCAAAGCACATGTTTTCCAGTGTTAAATTATCTGACACAGAAACAAACATGCCATTTTTCTGTTTCAAAGAAATACAACGTAAAAGTGTCTTGCAAAAAAGTTACTGCTCCATATGCTTTGAATTCATGAGAAGCCACTGGGAGAGCTGGAGCACTTGGGAATCCGGAGCAGAGAGAGCTCTGGGACGATATACCAATCAGCCACCAATGTGCATGGAAAGGTCATGGAGGAGCTGGAGCCAGGCTTCTCACTGCAGTGGAGGTCAGGAAAGAAATGACAATGGGTATTAACTGGAACAAGAGAGGTTGAGCCTGAATATAAGGAAAAGCATTTTTTCTCCATGAAGATGGTGAGGCAGTACCACAGGCTACCCAGAAAGGTTGTGCAGTGTCTGTCTTTGGGGGTTTTCAGTCTCAAGAGGGTGAAGCCCTGAGCAGCTGAGTCTGATCTTATTTCAAATCTATCTTTAGTGGATTATCATGCATTTATTTTGGGTTTTCTCAATCACATTCAAATTTATTTATGACTGTTTTCATAGTATCAGTTGATCTTCAGTTACTGTGAAATACTAGCCAGAAACTGATACAGAAATAATAACCAGCTAATACATTTTGCAAATGCAAATGAATTTTAAGGGGATTCAGACTTAACATCTCTGGATAGTTTTAACAATTCAAACATACATTCTATATACTAGACCAGGTTGGATGGGGCCCTGGGCAACCTGGTCTGGTATTAAATGTGGAGGTTGGTGGCCCTGCATGTGGCAGGGGGTTGAAGATTCATGATCCTTGAGGTCCTTTCCAACCCTGGCCATTCTGTGATTCTACCATGATATATTTTGTACACTGCAGTGCTTTACATGAACATTAACAGCATTTTCAGCAGTTAGTACAGACCTCATTTCCTCTGCCATTCTCTGTCATTCTTTTCATGCTTGCTTCTGTTGTATAGATGTCCTCTTGTATTCACTTCCACAAAAACAGAACAGCTTCTATTCCTCTTTCTCACAAGATCTGCAGACACAGTAATACAAACACATGAGGGCCAGCATTCAATTGCAAATATATGGGATAGATTACAAAGATTACTCCCACAGAATCCCTCATAAAAGTACTCAGTCTCAGTGTCATCTGACTCTAAACACCAAGCCCTGCTAACATGGCAGCCGTGGGAAGAAATGAGAATAAAACAGATCTTTAGGAAATAATTTCTCAATATATCTATCTCTGCTTTTATATCTCTGAAAATCATGTTTTTCTTGGTATTCGACATTTTCTGTACCAGTAAATACCATGAAGTGACATTTTTGTCTTACTTGTTCTTCTTTCCTCTGCAGGCAGTATGCTCTGATTCACTGCAGTGATAAAGAGCATCTGCTATTAACTTGAGTTGGTTAGTGAGGTTAAAGTTTTATAGAAAAGTAAAATTAGAAATGTATCAATTAACAGGAGAAGATTGACCAGGGTTGTGACTTTGATTCAAAATGCTTGCTCATTTTGGCACTGAAACAATATTACTGAAATATCGGTATCAGAGACTATGCCCATGTTACACTGTGTCGTGTGGAGGCTTGACACAGTCAAATTTATAAAAGTAGTCAAGCAGAAGCTGCAAAACAGTAAAAGCCAATCAAGTGGGAAAAGCAGCTCAGCTTACATTTGTGAGTAGGCAAAGATGTAGCTTTCAGCATCCTAATCTAGCACTCCCACATACTTTTCCTTAAGATACCTGCTGTTTCACTGCTGCTTCAGGCTGAGGTTTTCCTGGTCAGCAGCAAGAACAGAAGCAGTCATTGGAAAGTTCAGTGTGGGTATCTTCCTGACCTTCTCAATTTCTTTGCATCCTATCACTCGTCACCTGAGAAAAGAGATCAACACCCTCCTCACTACAGCCTCCTTTAAGGTAGTTTTAGAGAGCGATGAGGTCTGCCCTCAGCCTCCTTTTCTCAAGACTAAACAATTCCAGTTCCCTCAGCTGTTTCTCGTATGCCTTGTTTCCTAGCTCCTTCAACAGCTTCATTTCTCTTTTCTGAACATATTCCAACAACTTTCTTCTTTTAGTGAGGGGCCCAAAATGGAACACAGTACTTGAGGTGGAGTCTCACCAGTGCTGAGTACCAAAGGGCAATCACTTCCTTATTCCTTTAGGTCACACGACTTCTGAACCCTCTTGGCCTCATAAGCATACTGCTGGCTCATATTCAGCTGGCTATCAGACAGCACCCTCAGCTCCTTTCTCCTGGTCAAGTTTCCAGTCACCTTTTCCCTGAGTCTGTAACACTTAATGGGGTTGTTGTGACACAAGTGCAGCACCCAGCATTTATCCTTACTGAGTGCGATCCAATTGGATGCAGCCCATGGAACTAGCCTATCCAGATCCCTTTGCAGAGCCTTCCTTCCCTCAAGCAGGTCAACACTAACACACAACTTGGTGTCATCTGCAAACTTACTCAGTGTGCACTTAATCCATTCACCAAGATCACTAATAAAAGCATTAAACAAAATTGTCCTCAATAAAGAGCCCTGGTGAACCACATTTAAATCAATTCATGACTCCCTGTGCCAGGCCATTCAGACAGCTTTTTACCTAACAAATAGTACATTAGTCCAAATGATAAACAGCCAGCTTCTCCAGGAGAAAGCTGTGGGAAGTAGGGATGCTGAAACAACTGAAAAAGTAACTTGGCATGCCAATGAGTTAAATGAATAAAATGCATTGGAACCTTGGATGAAACTACTAGTTTGATATT